TGAAATAAAATAAAATCATTTACAAAATTATTCGGTGAAGAGGGTAAGGTGGCACTCAACAAACGCAGAGCTGTATATGAAATTACAGCGACTCATACATGGAAATTGTGCGTCAGTATGTATGGATGTGTGACCTTGGTATGCGTGGCGCAGATTTGCACTCTCCAACACCCTCACTATTTTCGAAAGCTTCCGCATACACATAGGAATTAATATATGCACATGCACACACGCATGAAAACTAATCGAAAGGGTGTCATTATTTCCTACTTTGCAACAACACCCAACCGGCGCGACGCTTGAGTATAGTAAGCGGGCGCAAATAAAACTCACTCACAGCTTTTCACATATGTATGCATGTAGCGCTCTGCTGACTGATGAATTATTGTGACAGGCCGCAGAAAACCTATTAAATTTGCGTCTAGATGGCGCTACTTAAATTTGTCAAAATGTCTTTTTTTACGCGCCCAACGCTCAGCGCACAACCGGTTTTGGTGTGGTCGCTGGCAAATGTGGAATTGGATACTCGCACGCACACTCATAGCTCACGTGCTTCGTTGGCAAATGCCTCAGCAGCAATAACAACAACAGCAATAGCAATAATAGCGAGCGCGAAACTTTGATTGATATCGAAATGTCACGCAGACGCGCATGTGGCTAATAGGCCCTGCGGTTCCAACCATTTGCTATTTTACCATTCGTTTGCCTTCTACCATTTAGCATTTGCTTTGTAAGCGAATTGATTTCGGCTCTTGTGCTGGCCACCATTTGTTCGCGCGAAATTATTGTGTGAAAAATTAAAACCGCTCAACTCACAGCTGCTACGGCGTTAAGACATTTTCGAAATCTAAACAGATGTATATACATACACAAATATATATATTTATATACATATATGTATACACGATTAGATGTACATATGTTTGTAGTAAAAGTCCATATGTGATTTTGGTTACTTTGACAAGCGGTTGACAAATTATAGCATTCTATTTGGCTTGTAGGTCTAATGCATATATCTAATTTAAGAATAAATAAACGCGGATAGATTAATTGACTTGGGTCACTGGGTTATTAATAGACAATTTCACTGGCCAAAATAATATTTGCTTATATACATACTTGTACTTAAGTATATGTATCTTTTATATGTTAAATAACTGTGGATATAAAAATTTACTTGTTGGAAGATTCAAAATTTAAAAAAGTTAGCAGTATTTTTAATAGGTATAGTAATATTGAAAAGTGGTATTCTGATTCGGATAGGTTAGGTTGAATCTTATAAGCAATGCTTATGATAGCCAAGATAGCTAAGAGTTATATAATAAATATATCTAACACGATATTTCCACTGATAGTTTTTCTGAGTTTCATTGCCTTTATAAAATGATTATTAGAAGTAAAGCAAAAGTGGTGCAAATATCTACTACATTAAAGTAAGTAGAGAAGGGCTAAATTCGCTTGTAACCAAACATTTTATTCTCTCACCATTTTCAAAATCGTTGTTGACAACACTTTATAGTAAAATTGTGAGAAAGAATTTAAGATTCGTTTTTCGACGAAATTATGAATGAATTTCAACCATAATTTTTGATCTTATTAAATATGTTAAAGATCATCAAGTAAGTTTGTCTACTTTTATAGTGAAGTGTGTGCGGTGCAAATATTATTCAAAACAAAACAACTAAGGAAGGGCTAACTTTGGGTTTTATCGAACATTCTATACTCTTACAATTTCCTAAGTTCGTGTCTGAGATATTAGCATATTTTAATATCGACCTAATATTATATGTGATATAAAGTGAACAAGTATAAATTTAATATAAAGGGAATATGAGGGAAAAGTGATTGAACGCGAGCATAACGTTATATAAGGGGTTCGGGCTTAAACCGATTTCATGCATATTCAGCTAGTGGCTAAGCAAACACTCTACTTAAATAAAATCGCATATACATGTATTTACCTAAATAAATTGGAAAGTCAACTAGAAAGTCTGAAGTCGCTATATTTTGGATATAGAGGCTAATTGGTCCGATTTTATTCCCTTTTTGCACCATGCATTTTTGTTATTAAAGAAAGATGCTCTTTGAATTGCATTGAGATAAGTTAGATATCGTCCGATTTCACCTAACGGCTGTTTGTATTACTTAAAACTAATTGAGATAGATATGGTGATATGTGATGTGAAATGATCAAGGTGACGAGACGAGTTGAAATCCCGATGACCGATGACTATCTTTCCGTCCGTCTGTCCGTGCAAGCAATAACTTGTGTAAAAATTGAGATATCTTGATGAAAGTTGGTACATATGTTCCTTGGCACTCAAAAAGGGTTGGTATTTCAGACGGGCGAATCGGGTTACTGCCACGCCCACAAAACGCCATTAAACGAAAGCATATAAAGTGTCATAACTAAGCACTAAATTAAGGTACAAAACTATTATTTAGTACAGGGAATCGCAGTAGTGAGAAGCGCTTGAGGCCTAAAAATTTTTTAAAATGAGCGTGGTCACGCTCTCTGAATGGTTAAATGTAGATATCTTCCAAACCACCGAAACCACAGTACGACAACTCACTGAATAAATGAGCCACAAGCAATAAATTGCACACACAGAATGGGAGGGAAGGACATTAGCCGGAGCCGATGTAAAAAGTGGACAGTGGACAGTGGACGTGGCACCGCTCACTTTTAGGTGTAATCCTACTGGACCAATTTCAACTATGGTGTTTGAGGTTATCCTGTTATTACTATTGTACACTATGGTGAAATCGGTTGAAAACCTCGCCATAGAAAAAACTTGTAAATTCCATCTGATTATTTCTTTTTACAGTATAGTCTCCTCAAGGTATTTCATCTTAACCTCAAATTTGTCGAAATCGCAGTAGAATTTTTTAAGGACCCGGACAGTGGACACCAGTGCATATCGCTGATTTTTTAACGAACATATCGGTCAGTCTTTGAGTTCTACTTGTAGTATTGAAATTCTGAGAGAATATTTTAGTGATAACAGCATGCCCCTGTACCAAAAATGGGAAAAATTGGGTCAATTCTGCCCATAGCCCACATATGCCAAACATATTATATATATTTCGAACTTCCGGTTGACTTAATTGCGCACAGTGTCGGTGAGTTGTTGGACTAAAACTATTAAGCTAAAAGCTCCAACTTTATCACCAAACATTTACATATATTAGCCATCAGGAATTCAGAATTCGTATACTCATCAAACATTTTGCACCGATTATATTACTTTTAATTTAACGGGACTTCAACATAAAAAAAACAATAAAATTTAATTTAAACTTTATAGTTTTCCTGTGACAACTAATGTTCACTTTCACCCAAACTTACATTTTCTCAACTGTGCACATTTGACTCCTGCTCGATAGATTCCTGTTCTGTTAAATCAAAGTTGAAAACAAGAAAAAACGTTAAGGTTAACAGAAGCTATACTACCCTTCACAAATACAAAATATTTCTTACAAGAACTTGATTTTGATCGCCAGTTTGCATAGCAGCTATATGCTATAGTGATTCGATCTGAACAATTTCCTTACAGATTGTACCATTACCTTAGACATTTATTTGTGTCAAATTTCTAGAGCCGCAGACGTTTCCTTCTGGGTGTTACAAACTTCGTGGCACATGTAATATACCCTGTTCAGGGTGTAATGAGATCGTTGGGATGTAGATATTATTCAATGTTAGGTACTAAGTATACCTCCCATACGGTACTTTAACTATATGTTATGAAGACTTTAACTGTAACTAGACACAAAAAACTTCAAAACCATGGTGATCCTCACATTTCTTACAATTGAGAAATTCCTAAATTTTTCGCATAATAATTTCTCAGTAATATCGGTGCTTTAAGCTCAAAATTCATTATAGTCTGAAACCAAATACAATACAAAATCATACCAAGTACATGGACCAGTACAACACTCGAGGCCCACGATGAGTCCTTAGTCGGTCTTAATAAATTTTAATCGCTCACTTAAGAGACTTGGAAGTAGAATATATGGGTTTATTATTATACAATAATTCTTGTGAACAAATAGAGTTTCTTTTTTGTAGTCTTACGGTTGAAATCCCAGTCAATTAAGCGCCTAATTTTTATATATGGAAAATATTTTGCACTTTTTACTAGCTCATACGCACCACTGCTTACATTGACACCACATTGCAATTCCATCTGCCACATTTCTCTCTCACTTAACTCCTACACGCAAAAAAGTGCAATCCATAAGCGACATCCTGCTGCTGGCGCAAAGCCCAAATATAAATAAAGTGTCATGGCGACGAGAACGAAAGAATACATCAAAACAACAAACACCTGCTGAGCGGCGGCGACCGCCCGCCGTCGCCTTCACGGCTGTCTGAGACGTGGTGGCAAATGTTGCAACAACTGCGTTACCAATACACCTAATCCAGTGCAATTGCGTTGGAATGGGGAGCAGCAAGCGGTGGGCATATACATAAGTAAGCGAGAAATGATGTTGGCTAATAAAGTCATGAATTATTTGTGGTGCTGTTGCAGGGCCCAAAGATGCCTTGCCCAAAGAAATGGGACTAAGTCAACTGGCCCATTGAGTGTGGCGCAACCGAGAGCACCTCACATTAGGATACATAAATAAGCAAATGCATTGTGGAGCGACAGCATTAATGGGACATTCAGCGCAGGGGCAGAGCACAGCTTCGTTTGCGATTGCGCAACCACTCGTTGCTAGTTGCGTTGGGGCACACTGGCGTGTTTGAATTATGTTGGCGCTATTTTTGTGCACATTAACCCATTAACGCTTGGCAGCTGCGTTTTTGCTGTTGCAGCTTGCACTGAGGGGGGCTTCACATATTTTGCATCAATTCAGCATTGCAATGCGCCATACAATTGAACCAATAAACAAGTCAAAGTATTTAATTTTCACAACATTTCTCCTTCAGCTACGTCTTTACACTATTTATGTTTCTCATTTATACGTTATTTTATTTCTTTTCATTGCAGTTATGGCGCCAGTTATGATTTAGCGTCGCGGCGGAAGAATGCAACGCGTGAATCCACTGCTACATTGAAGGCCTGGCTTAGCGAGCACAAGAAGAATCCATATCCGACCAAAGGCGAGAAGATCATGTTGGCCATTATCACCAAAATGACATTGACACAGGTGTCCACGTGGTTTGCGAATGCGCGTCGACGCCTCAAAAAGGACAACAAAATGACTTGGGAGCCAAAGAATCGCACCGAAGACGAAGATGAGGACGCGTTGGCCTCGGACGACGAGAAACCACGACACAGTGAGGAGATGAGCATGAATAGTGTTGGTGTTGGCTGTGCGGAACGCAGGCGACCACTCGGCATGGAGTACCCTGGCGGCGCCATAAACGTTACAATCGGCAACAACACAACAGTTGCGGGAAATATTGCCACGGGTGCGGCAGCGGCGGCAACGACGGGAGCAGGTGCCGTAGATGGTGGCGTGAGTGGCGTGGGTGCAACAATTGCGGCTGTGACGTCGACGGCGGCGGCGGCAACCAACCAACATTCCCACAGCGGCGGCACGAGTGTGGGCGCCGTCGGTGCAATACAACCTACAAAAGGTAAGCTCCCTAAAGTCAAGCAGACTGCAAGCCAGACACAGGATGGCCATGCAAAGGCGCATCACGAAGCCACTTTGATTTAGACAGTGGCCCCATGCGCTGCCGCGATGCTTCAGCATTGTTCGATTGGCACTGGCGTGTGGGTGGCATAATTGAATGCCTGCACGAGCATGCATCTTGCGCGTATGTGCGTGTTTATTGTGCTCTTAAATACTTCACTTGTTCATCACAAACGCAATTCAATGGCGCAATTGTTCTGTTCTTTGCTTTATTGGCGACTCTATTGTCTTGTGCGAAGTTACATTCGCTGCAACTGCTGCTTCTGCGCTGTGCTCTGACTACTGATTTTCTCATTGCTGTTTTTGTAGTTATTTCAGCGGCTGCTAACTGCCAGCAACTAAGTGATTTCGATTTTTTGAATTGTGCGCTTTGTATGCCAGGCGCCACATACCATTGTTACACATCTTATGGACGCGCTTGAAATTCGCCAGCATTTTAGCTATGAAATAGCATTTGTGATTTAACCCAAGGCTTTACTTGAAATTAAAAATTCTTCGTTATTTATGATGTGTGATTAAACAAAATGTCTTAACGAGCGTGTTTAAAATTATTACAAAAGACAACAAAGTGTACAGGGTGTTCCAAAATAGCTTTTAACTTTCAGAAATTGCTAAAACAAGAAAAAACTTTAGCGTTTCTTAGATACATTTCTTATCTCAACTATATTTATAAATACATCTTAAAACGTAGTTCACACCAAATAATGAAGATACCTTGTCAAAAAGAAAAGTTTTCCTTATAAGGACTTGATTTTGATAGATCAGTTTGTGTGGCATCTATATCCTGTAGTGATTCGTTTGAACAATATGTTCGCAGATTATATAATTTTTTGGGAATGGTTTATTGTAAATTTTGTGAAGATATATTGTCAAATAAAGAAGTTTTCCATAAGAAAACCTGATAGACAAATAAGCAGCTGCTTGTCGGGAGAAAGGAACGTGTGAAAAATTTCAGAACTATTTAAATATCTGAGGGACTAGCACGCGTATATACAGACAGACGGATATGGCTAAATCGTTTCCGCTTCTCACGCTGATCATTCATATATATCTATTATAGGGTCTTCCACGTTTCCTTCTGGGTGTAAGAAATTTCGTGGCTATCTTAATATATTCTGTTCAGAATATAAAAATAGTAGAAAAATTCATTTGTTATATAAATTACGCAACGTGTTTTCCAATATCAACAAGTTTTGACAATCCTGTTTTTTAGTTATACTACAAAAATCAATGTCATTGCAGAGAACTCTAGTACGCGGTTCCAGCTAACATATATTTTCTCATATTTTCTGCAATCTTTGAAGAATCACTGTTCCGCAAGTACTCGCGAACTTGAACGAAAGGGCCCTGTTGTGGTCTAGTGACTGAGGCCTCGTTAGTTTTTTATTGTTTCTTTCACTTTCCCCGAAACTTTACTGCGCCGTATATGTAACTAGATGTATTTTATTCGACAACACTGGTTAACTTTTTTGTCACGTGAAAACTTATATCAAATTTTTAATGTACCAAGGCCACTAAACAATAATATGTCAATGAAAAAAAAATTGACACGTCAGGTTTTCTTCAAAACTGTATATTCTTAAAAAGTGCAAACATCAGCTACATTTAAAGAAATGACTGCCTAATATAGAAAAAATGCTTATGATTTTCGTGAATATTTGGATTCTGGAAGAACCTTTTTAAGTCTCCAACTATAATCTTCATCCCACATGCCGGAAAGAAATCCAGATGAGAGTCCAGCATATGTATTTTTAAGACATGTTACACCCCAAAACTTTATATGACATTATAAGTTCATTTATTAAATCTTTGTTATAATAAAGAAAATTTTAGACAACTTTCACAAAACATTTCCAAACGAGTTTTTCCCGATCATTCAGTTTTTCTTCAAAGCTCTTATCTCTTATTAGTTGCCTTGTTTGTGGACCTAAATATATATATTTCTCCTTTAAATTTTGCCTCGCTGAGTGTGGAGATTTTCTCTTTCATATACAAATCCACTGCCATCTCTTCTCTTATTTATTTATTTATTTTTTGGTTTTAGGATGGGGTCTGTTGGCCGAAGACAAGTTTGGACACTAGGTAGTGTGTTTGGACTATGTTGTAATGTCTTTTGTTTGAGTCTTATAAAAATAACATCACTCTTCAAAAAATTGATATTGCAAACGTTATACGTTTGCGTTCTTGTTAAGCCCAACTTAATAGCAGTCTCAACATGGTACACAACATTTATGTAGGTTTTATCCTGAAATCCAATCACAAACTGGACCTGACTGATACACAATTATTTTATATTATTGATGAGGGTAAACATAAACAAAAATCATCACAAAATTAGTTTGACAAAAACAATGTTTTGTCTTGGCTGAATTTATAGTTAGATGTTTACACTACCAATACACGGGACTTGAGTAAGACTTTTCTATTAGAGATCGCCATTGAACAGGCAGTATAGCTTAAAATCTACGAAGGCGTACACCATGCATCAAAAGTGTTCGCCGAAAACCTTAGGCTGAATTTTGATGGAAATGTAGGCGAAGTTAATCATTTATAATTTCATTATTTAAATAGGTTATCTAATTATTTCTTGTTCGTCGTTGTACGTTCTCAAAGTCAACACGAACTGCTGAAATGGTCAGTATCTCAAGAATTTGTTTTACCCTAAGCATTGAAAGGTCGACTATTAAATCACCGATTTTACTACAATGAAATAACTATCGTAAAAGTATGAAACTGTTACAACATAAATCAAATAAATTGCATAAAATATTGTTGAAGGTCAAGGAAAAATCATTAATATCTTAAATATTTTTCTAAAATCTCCCATCAAATTCACCTAAAATAAGGGTGGTTCATATAATCAATGGTTGCGGGTAAATTTCATATATCCTATATATGCACTTTGTGCCCTTTTTAATGCCCAAACATCCATCAACATTTACAAAAACAACAATAAAGGAAGAAAGTCAAAAAAAGTGCAAATTTCAAAATATGTCCATTTATGACGTTGAGGCCATTACCGAAGTGGCTCTCAATGTCAACTTGTGTCATCCACTTCACTCCACTCCACTCCACTCCACTTCACTCCACTCCGGCACACTTCAATGCTCAACAAACGTGCTTTGAAGCTAAATACATATATATGTTATGGTACATAATCGTATGTTTGTGCATCTACAACAACAACAGCGCCACTTGTCAGTCATCACTCCAATTTGCTTTCATTTAGAGTCTGAAAACCACCCTCATATTTTTCGTGATGTTTTGGTGTATCATTTTGCGCCAAATTAAATTCTCAACCTGATTTTATTTCACACACACACATACATGCATACGTACACACATCCGATGATGTCTCCTTTTTGTTTGAGGGTTAATTTCATTTACGACCGCACCGCACAAACAAAAACAAAGCGCAACTACAATAACAAATATAATAAAAGCATAAATACTCAAAAATTGGTGGATCGAGAGTAGTGAGGAACCGCCACGCCGTGTTGCGAATGAAGGCGGTGTGGGCGCAATGCAGTTTGGTAGTACACAAATGAAAACAAAGGGCTAAAACTGAGAAAATCATTACCTTCTTCACACCAAGCCAACCGTCATCAAGTAGAGAAGATGATAGGTGAGGTAATGGTTGGGGCGGCTGGCGAATGTAACAATGCATGGCATGGTGTGTTGTTGGTCTGAGTCGTGTGGCATTCAATTTAAGTGTCGTTGAGCTCTTTATTACGTTAGTGTGAATTTTATGCGCCACAGCCGCTCAACTCAAACCACTTGTAGACAAGAAAGTGTTTATGTGGTACATGCCTTTTAGGAAAAGTTTGTGGTGCGATTTTAGAAAATGTATACCAAAAATATATTCTCAATCCATTTTCCTAAATTCTTAATTTTGAATTGAAATTCGTGCGTCTGTCTAGTCGCTGTTACTCAAACTGTTAATTATTTTTTGTAAAAGTTGTTTAAGATTATAACTGCTTGGTCATGATGACTTTTCCAATATTCTGGAGGTGGGTTATTAAGCGTAGATGCCCTGTGATAACTACTACAGTATTACCAATTTCCCTTCCCTTCTCTCAATGTGCTTAGTTTTTTACCTAAGATAATCCGAAAATATTTAACAAAGCTCGAGTGTACAACAGTTCTACCTCTTAAGGGGTTGGGGGTAGTCAGAATTTTCAAAAAATCAGTTTTATGTCTTGAAAATATTCTCTGAAAATTTCAAGTTGATCCGATAATTACTTTTTGAGTTATTCGACAAATAACATAGAGCGCAGATTTCAAAGGGCTCTTTTTATGAGACGGAAGAAGCGATTATCCCTGATCTCCGAAGAGTTGATGTTTTAAAGCTTATTTTAAATTTCTAACTACTAAACAAATTTCTCTTCTTAATAATGGACCTTATACCATCAATCAAATCAAGAATGAAAAAATGTTTAAATTATACGCTCTTTCAGTAATTGTGTGTTCACAACTCCGTTTTATATATGATTTGGCGGTACGTTTCAGAGCAAATATATATCTTTACCGTCTTTAATGGCACCTGCTTGTAGAATAAAAACTGGTGATCTCTACATGAGAGCCCTTTCATCAAATAGGTGTTCTTCAAATTTTTCTATCTTAAAATTATAAGTTTTCAAGATAAAATGATAAAACTGCAAGTGTTGCCACTGGCATATATTTATACCCTGAACAGGGTTTATTAAGTTTACTCTATAAAGTGTATATAAAAGTTATCAACATAACGAGCTGAGTTGATTTAGCCATGCCCGCCTGTCTATCCATCGGTATATACGCGAACTAGTCGCTCAGTTTTTGAGATATCGGTCTGAAATTTTGTACACGTCCTGCCATCCAAACTGACCGATCGAAATCAGAATAATGATCTTTTTATACCCTACTGAATGATATATAAAAATGCACATTTGAAGGGTATAAAAC